CGTGTACCCCCTGTGCCAGCTGCTGGTGCTGACACCAGGACTGCAGCAGTGTGCATTACCCGCACCCCTGGCACTGGGCATCACACGCCGTGTGTGTCCCCCAGGCCTGTCCCCAGCAAGGTGCCAGCTGAGCTGTATAATCCCTGGGCAGGATGTGGCTGTTGGGTAGGTCAGGCACAGGAATGGGCTAAGCGGGTCTGCCCTTGCTGTGCCGAAGTGCCAGGAGCCCCGGTAACCGGCCGGCAAAGGGGCTCGGGCTGGCAGCAGGACCTGCTGCGTGCCGGGTGCGGGTGCCGGGTGCGGGACAGGCTGTGCTGCTACACCCCAGGAGCTACTGCAGGGATTTGACAATAGCCCTCAGGGCATGAGGCGTCTCCGGGACAGAGGGAGACGCGCTGTAGAAGGTGTTGGTGTGGGTGTGATTTCTGCGCTGCTCTCGGAGGTACGGAGGGACAGATGAACTTTTGATGTGGAGGATCCTGGTGTCCATCACTTCGCAGTCGATCTGCATCATCACCTCGTAGTCCTGCCCATTGATCACATTCTCTGCAAAAGTAAGAAAAAAAGAAGAAAGTCAGAGTTAGCCCTGCAAACCGGTGACCTAATGGCACCTAAAGCAGAGCTTTCTGGACCTTTTTTTTTTTTTTCTGTAGCAGGAGCAAGAGGAAGGACCCCCTTCCTTTTTGCAGCTCCACACATGGAGCTCCATCTCACATAACACAGCCCCAGCCGGCTTGTGACACCTCAAAGGGCCCAGGTCACACTTAGCATGTGCAGTCACACCTAGAAATTATTGTGAGTTTCTTTCTTTTCTGCTTCTTCATATGCACATAATTACCAGTGGAGTTTGCCTCGTGTAATGTTTATTACTGAACTGTTCTTCAGCCACTAAAGCGTAGAGGTGATTGAAGATGGGGCTTATTTAAGAAAGCTGAATGTTTCACTTACTTTTTATTGGTTTAAGAATACTGTAACCCTCTTGACACTGAGGATCTTGAGGAATTTCTTCACCAGATTATTAGTAAAAAAAAGTCAAATCTCTCAAAAGAATTAATTGCACCTCATTAGTGAGCTGACCTGGCTGTTGTACTTGCATGACATTGTGGTGTGACACTGGACAAGGCCATTACTCTTGAGAGGCCTCCGGACACAGGGAGACCGGCACAAGGACACGCAGGGCTGCACCACGCCAGCACACCCCAGGCTGGGCATGTCTGCTGCTGCAGAAGCTCCTGGATTTGCAGGCAGGGGCTGTGCACATGGCCAGCATCTGCTGCCTGGATTTAAAGGTGGAAGACTATTCCCTGCATAGACAGTGTGTCCAGGAATGCGAGAGTCAAGATCGGATTTCCAGGCACGACCAATCCTTGCCTTTCAGAGTCAGAAATGCTGACTGCCATCGGCAGGGTTTTCTTTCTGTGCTAAGGAGGATGGAAGATCACCTAATGGAAAGCGTATGGATTGGAGGAATGCAGTATACATTACTAATTTTTACTGTTTTCCTGGATTAACTCTGACTCTAGATGACAGCTGACAACCACAGCCGGACCCTCTTGTACCCCACGCCACCTGTAGAAGCTATTAGATCGAGTATGTCTGGTAGAGTAATGAAAAGCAGGAGCAAACCCTTGCTAAGGGGGCTGAGAGCCTGCAAGGGAAATCAAAGTTCCCACCTGCAGAAATGAAATGGAAAAAGCTCTGTGTGTGCCACCGAGTGACCGAGGCCAGGAGCAGCTGTGCCTGTCTCTGCAGGTCACCCCTTCTCTCATCCTTTGGATGTGCTCTTGGTTCTCCCGCAACAGGCTCAGGACGAGATGGTGGAGAGGGCTGGGCTGGTGGTGCTGCCCAGGACAGGGGCTGCACAGGGCAGCTGGAGGCACAAGGAGAAGCTGGTGGGGGGTAAAGAGCCTGGAGAGAGCCAACGGGAACAGATCAGCTCCCTGTGACACTGCAAGCTGAAAATGCAGCTTCTCAGGTCACAGACGACAGCTTGACAGGACCCCAGCTATGTCAGAAGATGTGCTCCAAAGCCACAAGTGGGTGAGGTGGGATGGGAGGGCAGCCAAGGGCAGGAAAACCTCTCAGTAAGGCAGTGAGACTTTCCTGCACAGCGGGCTGTCATTAGGATCCCTGGCACTGCACAACACGGAGGAGAACAGCAATCCCAGAGAGCAGCCCACGCGAGGGAGGGAGCTGCGCTGTGTGGGTGGCAGCGGGGAGCATGGGAACCAGATCTGTCCATCTCCACCAGCCAGGATCCTGCTTCTCCCAGCGCGGACACAGGCTCTCCCTGTGACTAAGTGGACCGCGATTATGTAAACCACAGCCCTGCTACCCTATGCAAGAGGTGCTGTGTCTTCTGAGGCCACCACAGCTGAGATAGCTGGGAGGAACCACGTTCCCAAGGAGCCTCTCTGGCCAGCAGGCATAGAGGGGACTCACACATCCAACTCAGACGTTTGCAAAGCACCTGAATCCTGCCCTGTGTGTGTCAATCAGCCCAGGAGTGACATTCAGGTTTAAAGACAGGTATCTGATTCTTTCCCCTTTTGGGCAGAAGGTATTGTTGATGAAGAACTGCTGTGGGAAGCCTCTGCAAAGGGTCTCATCTCACAGGGATGAGGACAGTA